TGGTTCTACGCAGCAGCCGCCCCCGGGCCTCGCGGCGATCCCAGAGTGGTGCTTGCAGGGTATTGCGCGTTGTCTTGACCCTGTCGAGATTTATATTCGCGTTATTTTAGCGTTATTCTTTATTAATTTCGCCCCGTTTCGCTGTCCCGTTCCCGCTACGCGCGGAGGCGGAGACGATTCAAGATGGCGGAGGGAGGGACAACCCCTGCGGCCCCGCCCCTTGTATCCCAGTGGTCCCGCCCCATCCCCCGCGTAGCCCCGCCCCGCAACCCCCCGAGCCCCCCACCTCGCAAACCCCCGCACGACCCCGCCCCGCAACCCCCCGAGCCCCCCACCTCGCAAACCCCGCACGGCCCCGCCCCTCAACCCCCGTAGCCCCCCCACCTCGCAAACCCCGCACGGCCCCGCCCCTCAACCCCCGTAGCCCCCCACCCCGCAAGCCCCCGCACGGCCCCGCCCCTCAACCCCCCGAGCCCCCCAAGTCGCAAACCCCCGCACGGCCCCGCCCCTCACTCCCCCCACCCCCTCTACCTCACGTTGGTCAATACCACTGGCTTAAAAATAAAATAAAAAAATATAGGCGACGTTTCGGGCAATGGCCCTCATTCATCGCTCGTGATCTATCGTCTTTCATAGTTAATTAGCCATAATAAGGGCCATCCCGCACCTCCGATTAGCAAGGTTGGCTAAGTGCGGTGCGAAAGAAATTCCTACATCCATACACCTCCCGAAATGCCGCCTTTTGGTGTATTTGTTTTTGACGGGCGGGTTGAGTTTTTTTGTTTGTTATTTAAATCCGCCCATGAGCCACCGCATGGCTGCACAATAGATCTTTCTGGACCACTCAAATCCACATATCCCCCATATACACAACTGTGGGTCTTATAATCCCTCCTCCGGATTGCTCTAGCTTTGCTCACCGACATAGTATTATCGTCTTTTCTCTCTCTCTATCGCTATCATTTATTCAAAGCCTCGTAGAGAGTCTTCAGGATCCGTTGGCGCTATGGGGCCGTCCATAAATGACGTCACGCGATTTTGGAAGATGTTTGACCCTCCCCCCCCCTTCGTCACACGGCGTCACAAAAAGTCAGACCCCCCCTCAAATATGACGTCACAAAGCTCTGCCCCCCCCTCCCCCAAAAAAATAAAACATGCGTCAACTCGCTTTAAACTATTGTCATTGTAGTGCGTATTTAATGTGGCGCTGCACTCTGATGTTGTAGGAGAAAACATTTATTGAAAAGTCTATTTAATTAAGAAGAACGTGTTGGCTATATTTATTTAAAGTTGCGCATTTTGATGTGACGTCACATTTCTCACCCCCCCCCCTCAATCCCCCCCCCTCGTCACACATCGTCACAAATGTCTGACCCCCCCCGCCCCCAGGTGCGTGACGTCATGAGGGAAAGGCATTCCCAACGCAGACTTCGCGGAGCGAGACGAACCGCCTCTTACAGATAACACAGCAGAACGACTTGTAAGGGGCCCTTCGGGTGGTAAGCGAACATTCCCTGCCATAGGAGTGCTCATCACACGACATGCAAACTAAACGTTTCGTAAGAGCTGGAAATGACCTTAAGTTAAAAAAACACCCAATGGTGACGAGTCTTGAGACCTCCGACTCGCGATACTTTACTTGAGAACTGCCAACATAATCTCAGGATTCTTAGCGGTGTCGGCCCTAAACAGTTCCTGTTCAAGGAGTAATGTTCCCATTTAGAGGTAATCGGATGATCCAGAGATATTCCACTCCCTACACCAAGATAACATTCTGCGTATGTCCAGAGATATTCCACTCCTACACAGAGATAACATTCTGTGTAGGTCCAGAGATATTTCACTCCTACAGAGATAACACGCTGTGTAGGTCCAGAGATATTCCACTCCTACACAGAGATAACACTCTCCTACACAGAGATAACACTCTGTGTAGGTCCAGAGATATTCCACTCCCTACACAGAGATAACACACTATGTAGGTCCAGAGATATTCCACTCCTACAGAGATAACACTCTGTGTAGGTCCAGAGATATTCCACTCATACACAGAGATAACATTCTGTGTAGGTCCAGAGTTATTCCACTCCTACAGAGATAACACTCTGTGTAGGTACAGAGATATTCCACTCCTACACAGAGATAACAATCTGTGTAGGCCCAGAGATATTCTACTCCTACAGAGATAACACTCTGTGTAGGTCCAGAGATATTCCACTCCTACAGATATAACAATCTGTGTAGGTCCAGAGATATTCTACTCCTACAGAGATAACACTGTGTAGTTCCAGAGATATTCCACTCCTACAGATATAACAATCTGTGTAGGTCCAGAGATATTCCACTCCTACACAGAGATAACAATCTGTGTAGGTCCAGAGATATTCTACTCCTACAGAGATAACAATCTGTGTAGGTCCAGAGATATTCCACTCCTACACAGAGATACCAATGTGTAGGTCCAGAGATATTCTACTCCTACAGAGATAACACTCTGTGTAGGTCCAGAGACATTCCACTCCTACAAAGATAACACTCTGTGTAGGAACAGAGATATTGCACTCCTACACAGAGATTAAAAAAACTCTGTGTAGATCCAGAGATATTGCACTCCTACACAGATAACAACTCTGTATAAATCCACACAGCCGAGTTAGCGGATCCCATCTCCTGTACCGACATCCCTCGGTTACCTCGCGCGCCCCGCGAGTTTGGGAGTTTCACAAATCTCGACGTGATCCACCTCCCCTTTTTTCCGAAGTGCCGGATCACAGGCCTTGCTCATATTAAAGAGCGTTTCCGCTCGGCCCGCCCTGACAACTACGCGGTGCTGTTGGCCGTAGCGAGGCTCCGAGATGTCCACAGAGCTGTCGATTGTCCTGCCCGTGACCAAATCACCCGAGATTTACCCCATCTCGTCAGGCCTCAGAATTATAGGCCGCTGCAATGATGCATTGTGGGTAGCCAAGGGCAGTGAAGCAAGAGCCACCCCTTGTGCTGTACTCCTACTGGACATCTGTGAAAAAGAGCTTCATAGCTCATCGGATTCCTCCAGTCTAAGATTCTGATTCATACTGCCCACCATGCCTGTGCTCTCCGCGTTCACCAACTCACACTGAACAGCGTGGTGAAGTATGGTCTAACAACCCCATGACCAACACAGCCTATTTATTACCCATTTGTCTCGAGAAAAAGCAGACATGGATAAGCCAGAGGAACAGACAAAAAATATACGTACGATTCAAGAGCATAATGCACATTTATTATTTACAAAAAAATCTCCATCACTGTTCATCCGCGGCAAGAATGCATCAATTTCAGAGCAAGGCGCCTCTCGGCGTGTGTGAGTGACAGATAATGAAAAGGTGTTTACGCAGCTCATTTCAGCAGGAGTTGGCTGCGCTTCTTGTATCTGTACGCTCGGCTACGCCGCCACTGAATGAGCGCACAGTCAGAGCGCATAAATCAGGTCCCCAAAAAACACGCACACACGCACACGCCACGGGCCACATACAAATCAGGTCTCATTTCCTACGAGACTTCGGTTGCGCGTGTGCGTACGCGCGCACATATTGGACGTCAATAGAGGCGTGTGCAATCACAACAAATAGGCAAATGCGGTGTACAGATCGCTTCACGGTGTACGTTTATAATAACGAATGCAGCCTCGCAATTTGCTTGCATGAGCCACTTCTGGTGGAAGGGCATCCACGAGAGGAAGCGCCGCAGAGTCCCTCTAGTCCAGCGGTTCTCAAGAGTATGGTCCGCGACATCCCTCCAAGTGATCCGCGGGGCTGTGGTGCAAATGCAGGTTGATCCGGAAATAATGACGATGTTTATACACTTTGTTTTGGACATCGATTGATATTTTACTCGTGATAATTAATTAAAAAATGAAGTTTAGGTAAACTAACCCTGATTAAACTACCCTAAGCTTAAGATCTAAATGCACCACCCCCTAAAAACAGTAAAACCTTACACCTGCATTTAAAAAAAAATATTTGTTTTCTTAATATGAATTACTAGCTTTACGACCCGGCTTCACCCGGGACTTGGATTCACCACGCCCGGCCGCCTTTGTCTCCCCAGTGGCGATGTTCATACACCACACCAGTTACTCGTTTGAGGCTGAGTCGACCTAGGGGAGACCCAGGACCGGTTCAAATAATCGTCACCGGTAGTGGCCGTGAGTGGGAATCGAATTCGGGTCGCCGGGTTCGTAGCGCAGCGTGCTAACCACTACACTACAATGCGTTAGGCTTCCACATGCGCGGGTCACATGACAGATTTGACGTCACAGCTCACTTGCCGTGCAAAACATATGCATTATTGAGCTCCCCCCAAGTGTATTTTTATAATTTTTGCATGGTGTACAGTCTGGAAAGTACCCACATGGCAAATTTCAAGGTTGTTGCATGTCGGGAAGTACGCTAAACATTTTGAACAGACACACATAATCACAACTTTGCCTTTTATATACTGTATATGGAGATTTTGTATTCGTGGTATTTAGAGAGAAGTGAATGTGTTTTGTCACCAGAGGTGGGGGGCTGTGTGGTCCGCGGAAATGTTTGCATCGGCTGAGTGGGGTCCACAGGCAAAAAAAAGTTTGAGAAGCCCTGCTCTTGACGGTATTTTAGTCCTACAATTTTAAACGCTGGCCGGACGTCTTGCAAGAGGTGGGAGTAACCCACACTTTATCTTGCAAGAGGTGGGAGTAACCCACACTTTATCCCACCACACGCTGCCTGCCGATCGACTGTGGTGTACCCAATTATATATCGCTGGGTGGCCACAAGCGGGGGAATTCAAGAAACTCCCACCACTGTTTCGACAACTGCGTCGGGATATGGAATCGAACCGGCAACCTCTACTTTGCAAGTCCAGCGTCGTGCTGTTACACCACTGCGGCAGCGTCCGTTGGAGACGCGACGACGCATCGATTACAACCGATTAAGATCACGAAGATACATTCATCAATTCATGTGCGCGAGAGTATATTTGTGAATTTTGCTATTTATATGTAAATTATGTATCACCCATTATTCATAGTCCAGTGTGCTAACCACTGTACTGTGGAAGTATATCTTATGTTTATTGTATCAAAAACAATTTACGCCAGTGTGACTTATGGCACATCAAGACAGTGTACAATTTCTGTTGTTTGTATCATTAATAATTTTTTACTGCATTATAATTATGGCATTGATAAACTGGAATGCTATACAACGAATATATTTCCATTTGCAACTCTCACAATGAGCGGGCGTAGCTTCACATTAAGTCAGGGAGTGATTCTAAACAAGATGACATCACTAATGTGTCTGTTCTCAGGTCTATAGGGGCTTACCCACACTCAGTGGTTGCCATGTGGAGTGTTGCATGGCAAAATATAAAATTACGTGTGCAATCGGCATCGTTATGAAAAAGGGTTCATTCAGAGAACGGCCCGTGGACGTAGATATTACAGTACTGCTGAAATTCATTCACATTACCCTCATCCACACACCAAGGCATATTGCACTTTTCCACGTGCCGTGTTATACAAATTATCGTCACATGGCAGTCAAACCCAAATGTTTAAACAAAGAATCAAGATTACTACGATTTGGAAACCAAATCGGTGTGGTAAAGTATGATCAAATGAGGGGGTCCTCATCCAAAAGTGGACTGACAAAAGTGCTGTTTGTAAATGTACTGGTGACTGCGTGGAGACCATCAACTGGCTACACCTGAGAACCTGGTTTATACGTGGATGGCTGAATCCTGGATTTCAACTCGGCGTCTCTGCAGTGTCAGCCCAGCTCTCCGACATGTACTTCACGAACTCACCAAGTCACCTAGCCACGTTAACGACGTACAACTTCAAACAGTTTAGCAGGGCTCAAGTTCATTTCCCATTTTCGCCCTGGACTAATTTCTGTATTTGGGCCAGGTGGCTCTGCATATAGATCACCCTTACTCACGATTTATTCGGGGTCCATAACATTTATTCCACTGCAATATCATGAATAGACTGGCTCTAACATGGAAATGTGACATTTTTAACTGGTTCAGGTCTGCACTGTTGCTTGATCAAGCAGGGCGACACTATGACCTCAATGTGACTTAGAAACTGGCTGGGAAAACCTTCAGCCGCGTCTTGGCAACTTGGCGTGTGAAAGGGGCGGCATATGTTTTGGGGAGGGGTCACATGACCAGGATCTGTTTCTCTGACAGAAAGGGCTTCACCGCGGCCTCTAGAGCAACTTGAAAGTCGTGGAAAGGGACCTCGTTACACATGGGGGCGGTCAGCTTCCCCACGCGTGCCAGGCTGCAGAGCTCCGACAGCATGCGTGCCTGCCGCTCACCGTCTGCTTTCACGCACACACAAAGACAAAGATCCTCGTATAGCCGTAACATACTGATGGGGCAAGTGCTGTTAGCAAGTAGCACCTATGAAGGCTGGCACGGTGAATAAGCGGGTGGGTGGCCAGCATCACGCCCGGCTGCCTTTGTCTTCCCTGTGGTGATGTTTACACACCGTGTCAGGTACTCATTTGTGTCCGAGTCAATCTAGGGGAGGCCCATAACCGGTTCAGATATTCCTCACTGGTGTTAGCCGTGAGCGGAAATAGTGCTCCGGTTGCCGGGTTCGTACCGCAGCGCGCTCGAAGCTGTGCCACCACTCCCCACAAATACACACTTGCAGATACACACATATATAGAACAATGTACACATAGATCCACACACAAATACACACTCGCAGATACACACATATATAGAATAATGTACACATAGATACACACTCGCAGATACACACATATATAGAATAATGTACACATAGATCCACACACAAATACACACTCGCAGATACACACGTATATAGAATAATGTACACATAGATCCACACACAAATACACACTCGCAGATACACACGTATATAGAATAATGTACACATAGATCCGCACACAAATACACACAGCCTCAACACTAGCGTACAATATGAATATAACATATATAATCAAAACAATGCTAAGGTTGAGCCTGCGAAATTCTTGAATTGGGTGACCACAATGCATAACAGGCTGCAGGACAATGCTGTGAGCAGCAGAGGGCAGTGCAGTTGAGCCCACGACAGTACCGTACTTCGATGCCACCAAGTCCTTGCTCCCCGCCTTCACCAATCCGCATTGACCAGTATGGTGACGTTATGGTGTGGTGAGGCCCTCATCCAGCAGTGGATTGATAAAATGTGGTGTAAGTGTACACATGCAGAATAAAATTATCGTTTATTTTGGCTGCACCGTCCTTTAACCTCACCCTGAGCATAATGCCGTTTCCATTGGGTCATCCAGAATCCCAGCACCTTGATGTCATTAAAGATGAGCGCACTCTGTGGGAGAGAAACGGATACAAGCAGAGACCTGAGGGCGCTATGACAGAGACGTCATTTAACTGCTGAATACAGTCGCCTATTGCAGCGGAGACGGGGAAATTTGTAGCAAGATGAAAAGATGTAACAATCTTCGCACCACAAGGTTCTACATTTAATTCATAGCGTTAAAAGTGGGACTGTGTCACTGGTCGACAATGTGAGGGTGGGATAACACGAGTGGCAGACTGTTGCACTCACACTGCCCACCCTGACAGTGCAAGTGACAAGTGTGAGTGGCAGCAGAATGAGTACCCGGTGCAGTGTGTAAACATCGCTTTTGGGGAGACAAAGGCGGCCGGGCGTGGTGCTAGCCACTCTCCCCCTTTGTGTGCCATACAGGCCTTCATAGGTGATACTCGCTAACAGCACTTGCCCCAACAGTCTGTCAAGGCTATACGGGTGGGGGGGGGATCTTGTCTTTGGCAGGAGAATGTGCAAGTGGCAGAAAGTTAAAGGTGGACTGTGTCACTGGCGGACAATGTCAGCGTTGACACTGTGTGGGTCCGCAAGGCCCTTGCCGTGGGGATGATGACGGGCTGCCTCGACATCCCTCCATACGTCACCATGGTGCCAGATCGCCTGTCACGGCACGGGGGTCGTGTGACACAAGCGGTGAAATCGCACGCAATCACTCGCCAGCTACAGCGCTCGAACATCATCTCAGCCAACCCGTTCACACGCCTCACCCATTCACATGCCTCATCCATTCACACGTCTCAACCGTTCGCTTGTCAGCTGCATCATGCACACACTCACATTAACATCTCACCCATTTACTCATAAGCTACAACATTTACATATTCCAACAATTCACTCATCTCACCCATTCACACATTCACTCACCGGCTACAGCAATCACACACATCAACCATTCACACACCTTACCCATTCACATATCTAAGCCATTCACACATATCACCCATTTACTTTTCAGCTACATTACTCATACACCTCACCCATTAACATCTCACCCATTTACTCATCAGCTACAACATTCACATATCTGAACGCATCTGTCGAAGCTATGCAATCCATCAAAAACATCCTGCTCAAACAATGTCTGAAGTTCACTTCGTTTTTAGGCATCTGCCGATTTGCTTAAAATTAATAATTCAAAATTATTCGAGTTTGACTGCGTGTCACTTCATCACCTGGTGTTGCTTCGGTCGCCCTCAATCCACCTGACTTCCTTGATTTTTCCTGAAGACGCTTTGCGTAGTTTCAAGCGACACATAAAAGGGAATTGCTAATATTATTTGTAGGAACTGCTCTTCAACTTTACCGGCGAGCCGAAACAACATTAATTGGTGCATTGAACACTTGTACGTGTGACAATATAACTTGTTTAGTATCTCCGATTAGTACGCTTGGCTACGTACGGTGCGAAAGAAGTTCAACATATATATTGTGTGGCTATGTTCGGTGTGGTAGAGGGTCTTTCGAGACACATCTGGTCGGATGATTACGTAGCCTAGCCCAAAAATAAATTATGAATTTTAATAACTTCCAGAAAACACCTATCTGCCCACCGATGTCTTTTAACGTTGACCTTGCAATGACACGCTGCCGAAATACGGTTTCCCTTTCTGGCTCAGATATCAACGTCTGTGCAGATAAGACACGGGTACCGATATTGGTGGCTGTCTCTCAAAGCTCAATCGGGACACGGTGAGGCTGAGTGTCGACGGCGAGGCGCGGTGACATCAGCGCCGTTATCCGCAATGATCTCTCGATGTTGTGCCATATTCTCGAGATTGAAGGACACACTTTTTTTTCTTGAATTTTAAGCCAAAAGATGGCGGTGGTTCGTATTAAAATTCGATCGGTGTGTCTATGTGTCTCTACGTAAGGGTACGTGGTGTCTATGGGTCTTGAGGCTCGTCGCTCACTCGATATTGCGAAGAAGCTCCGTGGCGCTCTTCCCTCCGACGCAGTTGAACGCAAGTCGAGGCTTGGGGAGCTTCTGCTCAGAAAAGCACGGGCGGGGACAATTCAACGGTGACGGGGGTTACAGCGTCAGGGCACTGAGCCCGATACTCACAATGTTTAACACAGGAGTCACACTAGATGCTGAACGTTCTCATGCAGGTAGTTAAAATAACAGTTACAAAGACATTCACACACACACTCATGTACCCATACAAAAAATAAGACAAAGACGCCCATTATAGCTTACGTAGGCTGTTGGGGCAAGTGCCGGTTGTGAGCACCTGTGAAGGCCGACATGCACGAGAGGTGGCGTGGCCAGGACCACATTCGGCCATATTGTGGTTTGTAGCGCAGTGTGCCAAGCACTTCACTATCGCTTCACGCACTCCTTCACGATTGTTGTCTAGTAGTTGTTAACCCACTATAAGGAATTTGCACTCACACAAACCCTCGAGCAGTTTTATCAGGACACCTCCCCCACCTTCCACAGCTCCTTGGCCTCCACCTTCCTGAGCTCCTCCTCAGTGAGAACGAAGTCTGCGCCCATCGCCTTCAGCTTCTCCACCAATTTCCCCAGCTCCGGCCTGGCCAGGTTCGCGAGCGGGTTGGTGGGTGGGTGGGTGGGCGAGCGGATGAGTGGGTGAGTGGGTGGGTGGGTGGGCGAGCAGGTGGGCGAGTGGGTGGTCAAACAACCAGCGGAGCGGGTGGGCGAGCGGGCGAGTCGTCAAGCGAGCGGGGTGGGTGAGCGAATTTTGTGGGCGAGTGAGTGGGTGAGCAACAGGAGGAAGGGAGTCAGGCATGGTGGAGCAACTTCAACTAGAGACACAGGCAACATCCAGCCGGGACACGGGAAGACGGGGTCAGTGGGTGGGGTGGGAGGGAGGGAGGGAGGGGTGTGTTGCAGCGTGGCGAGGTTGTGGTGTTCGATGTGAGGTGGTGAGCTCACCTGTCTCGGACGATGTTAACCGTTCTTACGCCCATGGAGGCCGCGATCTGGATCACCGCCTGCCCCACCGCGCTGTTCGCCCCATTCTGGATCACCACATCGCCTGCGCGCAAAGCGCAGATAGTGCGAATGGCAATGCCAGTGAAAGTGTCCATGGCAGTGCCAATGTAAGAGTTGTGACTGACAGTGACTATTACAATGTCAGTGACACGTGTCAGTTAAATGAGTGTCAACTAAACGAACAAAGCCAGTGCCAATGACAAGAGTGCCAGTGACAATGAGAGGAGAGCCAGTGACAGTGCCAATGATGGTGCCAATGACAAGATGGTGAGTGGCGGTGCTAATCCCAGTGCTATTGAAAGTAGAGGGAATGACGGTGCCGGTGATGGTGTCAATGACAGGAGAGTGACGGTGCCGTTGTGAGTGGTGCCTGGTTTTAGCGGAGTGAAGTCGTGCAGCATGCAGTACGCCGTTGCCGGGTTCACGTGAATGGTGGCGGCGGACAGCAGCGGCAGGTCACGTGGCACCGTCACCATGGCATCCTCGGAGCACACGCCAGCCGTCCTCCACGTGCCTACACGAACACAAAGACACCGACACCACCCCCCCCCATTCCCGTATAGCCTTTAACAGACTGTTGGGGACAAGTGCTGTTGGCAAGCACCTATCAGGGCGGGCACGACACACGAGGGGGTGGGTGGCCAACAGCACGATGTTTACACACCGCACCAGTGATGATGTTTACACACTGCACCAGGTACTTGTTGAAGGAGTCAATCATCTACGGGAGGCCTAGGACCGGTTCAAATATTCCCCACTGTTATTGGTCATGAGTGGGGATTGAACGTGGGTCATCAGATAAGTGCGTGCGGTGCGCTAACCATTGCACCACCGCTCCCCATACACAGCAAAAGACATGCAGACACACCACCCATCCTGCACAAACTTATACCACACAGCCCAGCATGCTCTAATTCATAGCACACTGCCAGCATTTCACGCACGCACACACAACACACACACACACATAGTTTGACATGACTGTGCTCTGACTCACCAAACACTGAGCCCACCGGGAGGACCCAATCGCCTGGTTTGACCTTCGTGACTTTTGACCCCACCTCCTCCACCTGCCCCACACCCTCGTTCCCCCCGATGGCCGGCAACGGGGGCTGGATCCCGTACTTCCCTGCCACATGAGCACACGCACGCACACACGCACGCGACACACACTCACTGAACCCGACTGCTCGCCGCCCGTGTTCTTTAACGAGGAATTCATCTCTTTAGTTTCTCCCACAGTAAACGGTATAAGAACTTCATCAGGAAGACTGCAAAGTTGGGCACAGGATAAATGAGCAACGTGAAGGTTTATCTACAACAAATTTGCTAAACATTTAGAGGTACTGTACATGTTGGAGGAACGCATGGCATATATATTTATCCACATCTTATTCAACTACAAATTATCTACAAATGCTTTTATATCAACCAGAATCTCTCGACCTCTCGTTGTGACCTTCGGTAAAATGCAAATTGGTAAGCAAAGTGCATAGTTTTTTACAAAACCATCGAATCGAAATGTGACATTCTGTTCAAGAGAGCGATGTCCGCGCACTTGCTGCCCCTCTCACCCTGCAGCATGTTGATGTCGGCGGGGTTAATGGGAGCAGCGAGCATGCGGATCAGCACCTCCCTCTCGCCAACGGGGGGCAGCAGCTGCTCCTCCATCCTGTCACGTCACGAGAAAACGAGACCCAGGAGACTCGAGGGATGCTGGGCTCTGGCGCCGCTGAACAGGGTTCTAAAGCACGAGTCGATAGATCCCAGCCCCACTCCTCCATCCCTCCTGTGAACGTTTCCTGGCTTGGTTGGAAAGTTGTGTAGACCTCATGGACTAATTTCTTTTTGGTGATGACTTTTTTGTTATTTGTGCTTTTTGTTTTGTTGCCATTTCTAAATGTGTTTATTTATTTAAAATTTTGCTTGGTAGTAAGGTTTACATTTGCTTGGTAGTGGCTGTACGGAGAATTTAGTTCTCATATAATGAATGTATCGCGTTGTGGAATGAAAGTATTATTCTACGCTTTCGAGTTGGGGTTGGTGGATCGCACTCATCTCATCGTGCGCTATGGCATTCCCAGGGAGACTTTGAGGTGGCCACGAGTTGACCAGGAAATGGCAGTCCATGCACGTTTTTGAGCCATCTTGGGGATTTTGAGATACTATTCTCTGGGTGAGATGCATTCATCACACATTACAACCAATAATTAAGTAGTTTGTCAATAACCCACGTCTAGGACTTGCCTACCACATCAAAAGGGCAGTAACCATTTACCCACACAGCCCTGTTGTCAATCCACTACTGGATGAAGGCCGTCCCACGCCGTGTGGACTATGGAGGTTACTTCACCATATTTTATCACGCTGCCCAATGTTGGTTGAAGGTGGGCAGCACAGACGTTGGAGCGTAGAAGTACAATACAATGGATTTTGCTGCACAGCTCCCTGCTTCCAACTCAGCCCCTTTATAACAACGTGTTTTTACGCACGGTCGCCACACGTCCAAGCACCATCTAGGTTCAAAACAGCTTGGCTTCTGAGATCTGACGAGATTCAGGGCATTTGGGGTGAATTGCCCAGAGGCTTCTAAATCCAAATCATAAAGATCAACATGTCACCGTGGCCAAAGCCGAGAATGCCACCATACCTCCCCAATGCTTTCTACCCTCCACCAGATCCCGCAGCTTCTGCAGATTACCTACACGATCTCCAAGACCTGCCCTCTACGGTCTCCACCAACATCTGGTCTAATCTTATCTTATATAGATGTATACAGCACCTTATTCCAAGGCGTTTTGCAACAATTATAAATTTGCACATTAGATAGTGGTTCAAATACGCAGCGGGGTTATTAAAAGTGCTGATGTGGTTATCGTGAAAGGAGGACAGGTGGGAGTGGTTAAGGAGGGGTTGGGGTAGGCCTGGTCGTAGATGGGGCGTTGGGGCAGGAAGTAGCAGTAGGATGGGCTCGGGAGAAAAGATGGGTTTTAAGGTCTTAGGTCTTCTCCTCTCCTTGGTTGCCAGACTTGTGGAGACCACTCCAATGTCCGTCCCCATTAACCGACGCTCGCAACATCCCGCTCGTGGCGTAACGCGAGCGAAAACGTGACGCACTTCACAACTTTGGCCGGTTCCCCGTGCTCCGCGTACACCAGGCAGGAAGCCGTGTGACCTCGTCGGGGGAGATTGCACCCCCAGGGGGGAGAGCCCCCCAGAGCGGCACGAACCCCGCCACCGAGACGAGGTGCCGCTCGCAGCGTCGCCACGCCCAGCAGCCCCGGCATGGTGCTGGCCTGGGGAATCCGTCAGTGGCCAGCTGAGCCGACCACAGTAGGGAGATTCTGTGTGGAGAGCACAACACACAAGTGACACAAGGAGAGTTAAACGGCATCTAAATCAATAATTAAGGAACCTAGAGCCCGCGGGACTGGACACGGCCCCGTGACTTCATTTCATACGGTCCACGGCACACTTGGAAGCCCTGTTACTCTGAAACAATACAGTTGCTATTGTATTCAGTAATATTCTCACAGAGCATCCATGCAATAAAAACTATGCCTATAATAATGAATAAAATATTACTGGCCAATCAATCCAGCTCAAGGATAAGCTAATGCACAAACATTAAAAAAAATACTTTGCCTTGCCTGTGCCTGCGCCTGCATTTCCGATATAACCTGGGACAGAGTTCAAACGGCAGGGAGCATAGCAGCTCGAGGTCCTCGATCCTCCCGAACCTTGTTTGTAAGCAGAATTTGAATAGACCCCCGTCACTGAAAGCGTCGTAGCGGCACTGACTAGTTACTCGAGGGGCATAGATTCGACTTGGCCACGACTCTTGTTTCTAATATTCACACGCCCAGTTGCCGAGGAATTATTTTCCGCATTATTGCAGAATGCGAATGTGTGTTAACGTGTGAATCTCCAGTGATATGGAAAATGATGTTCGGCCCTCAAACACATTCCTGCGGAGGGAGCTGGTAGGAACGTTGGGTTGCTCGGTCAATGGCCAGGGTCAACGGCGGCACCACGTGGTGTATTCCACACAATATGCCCGACTGTGAGGACGGGCATAAGCCGGCGTGAGTAGGTTAAACGTTGAGTTTTATAAGGGCACCACGGGGTGACCAGCCCCTCCCCACCCAGCCCCTCCCCACCCAGCCCCTCCCCACCATCCCCTCTCCACCCAGCCCCACCCCTTCCATTTTTGGATGCACGACGGACGGACGGACACAATAAGCCTCCGTGGGCTGGTGTAACCAGGAGGTTCCTACCAGTATAAGGAAATGCTTACCCGCCCCTGTATCTGGTGGACTAATATTGTTAGGGCTACGGGTATGGTTACGATATAGTTTAGTATTGTGGGAAGGGTTATAAGTAGGGCTATGGTCTGATTTGGTTGGGGCTGAGGTTTAATTAACTGGCTTAGGAGCAAGAGTTAATAAATGGTGAGTGAAAGGCAAGGGATTGGTGTTTGGGTTATGGTGTTAGTGCGGATCGGACGAGGATTCATACTAGGGTTAGATGCAAGGTTAGCACTCCGGTTAGTATTATAGTAGTATAGTTAACGATAATAAGGGTGCGAAAGAAGTTCAACATGCATAGTTGGTAGGGCGAGTGCAGGGATCGACAACCAAAATAACAGGAAGAGACTTTTTTTTCGAATTCGTGTTTTTTTTAAAGGCAATAATAGAGTCGCAATGCGCGTGGATACGTAAGATACGGTGGTCCTTGATAGCATCACGTCACGACTCGGTCCTTAGGTCGCCCCCAGCCCCCCGTGGTGCTGGCGTTCAGGTCGTCGGGTAAACCGACGGTGATGTGCGAGATGGGAACTGTACGAAGGGCAGTGCTGTGGCTAATGTTAGATTGGGGGGTTCACAGCGACCTGCTGGTGCTCAGCGCGTGCGTGTCTGTGTGTGGGTAAAGTGAACGTGAGTGAGCGACGTTGAGTTCGGAGTGGAACGGTGCGGCCGGAGTGGGGTGTCTAAAGTGTGAATGTGAGTACCGGACGCAGGCGCTGTTCAATCTCACCCTCACCTCTCACTTATCTGTCCCTCTCTCTCTCTCACCCATCTCTCACCCTCACCTTACTTCTCTCTCTCTCCTCTCTCACCCTCACCTTACTTCTCTCTCCCTCACCCCTCTCTCTCCTCTCTCACCCTCACCTCACTTCTCTCTCCCTCACCCTCCTCTCACCCTCACCTCACTTCTCTCTCTCCCTCCCTCTCACCCCTCTCTCTCCTCTCTCACCCTCACCTCACTTCTCTCTCCCTCCCTCTCACCCTCACCTCACTTCTCCCTCCCTCTCACCCCTCTCTCTCCCTCCCTCTCTCTCACCCTCACCTCACTTCTCTCTCCCTCACCCCTCTCTCACCCTCACCTCACTTCTCTCTCTCCCTCCCTCTCACCCCTCTCTCTCCTCTCCCTCCCTCCCTCTCACCCCTCTCTCTCTCTCTCACCCTCACCCCTCTCACCCCTCCCTCACCTCACTTCTCTCTTCCTCTCTCGAAGACGCCGACTGCACGCACCGTCAAAATCACACCGCACTGTACACGGCACTGTCCACGCGCTCGCCCACGTGCGCGCGCCTCACGTGGCAGCGCGAGCTGGAGGGGCGGGGCGTAGGGGGCCGGAGCCGGGGGAACGGGGGGGAGGTGTAAGGGGGGGGGATGGCACCGTGGGGTGGAGGGGGGGGCATTGTAGGGGGGGGGCATTGTGGGGGGGGGGGGGCAGAGGGGGGTGTAGGGGACCGCGTTCGCGAACTCCACCGCACGCGGGCTGCAGTGTCCCTGTCAAAGAGGCAGCGGTCTCTTATTGTCGTTGGCTCTCCCCTCCTGCGCCACGAGCACGCACTGACCAGCCCGGTGAAGTATGGTCACGTAACCCAAATAACCTCTCTTGGGCCCCGCACACGTGTGGGGTTGTGGGGTGGGGGTTGTGGGGGGGGCCCTCATCCAGCAGTGGATTGTCACTGTAACGTTGAACTTCTTTCGCAGCGTACGCGGTTATCGGGAGGTGCGGGGAAATCGCCTGAAAATGTGTCCGATCCTGACTGCGGCGGCCACCCACACATCGGTGCCAAGCCAGGCCCCTGGGGGTTGTCTGCGGCGGCCAGCAGAGGGCGGTGCTGCAAAGTCCATCAGCGAACGTTGCACTGCGCCGGATGCGCATTAATCAACTCGCAAACTGACCAACGTGTTGTTGTTGTTGCTGCTGCTTTAGGGGCCGTCCATAAATGACGTCACGCGATTTTGGACGATTTTTGACCCCCCCCCCCTCGTCACACGGCGTCACAAAAAGTCAGACACCCCCCCCCCTCAAATATGACGTCACAAAGCTCTGCCCCCCCCCCAAAAATATAAAACATGCTTAAAATCGCTTTAAACTATTCTCATTGTAGTGCGTATTTAATGTAGCGCTGCACTCTGATGTTGCAGGATAAAACATTTATTAAAAGTCTATTTAATTAAGTAGAACGTGTTATCTGCAGCTATTTAAAGTTGCGCATTTTTATGTGACGTCACATTTCTCAAACCCCCCCTCCCCCTCGTCACACATCGTCACAATGTCTGCCCCCCACCCTAGGTGCGTGACGTCATTTATGGACGGACCCTTATTAGCGGAAGCAAAAGTAGGGTAATGGCGCCCTCTATTGTTCCGTATGGGTGTTGCCATCCGCATCTTAAGCATTCAACGTTTACATCGTTACCAGGTACAGACTCAAAATATATTTCCAAACATCCTTGAGAATTAAACCATTCACATTGCCTAGTTCAGGTGAACCTATACAAGATGCATTACCTTAAGAGATAATATTCCATCGATTACTGAATGTGTTACTTTCTCAACAATAACATTTAGTTCCACTTGTTTGTTACGTACGTGTATTGCAATCTATAAAATATACGACATTGCTCTGGTATCTCCGATTACCAATGTTGTCTACGTACGGTGCGAAAGAAGTTCAACATACATACGTATCTCACGTTAAAATATCGACATCTGATCAGAAAATCCAGCATGGTGGGCTCGACAGAGTTGAAAGGCAGCTGTGGTAATTCCTCAGATTGTACCAAGAGCTGGCTGCTACAATGATCTAGTCCGAGTAATACAGCTCTCAACTCATATGGTTTACCCGTATTCTTGTCCAGGGAAATTGAGTTTTCAGGTCCATACGGCGTACAGCCGTTTCAATACGGGCAACATCTTGTTGCCTATTTGTGTTTCTTCCTTGTGATGGGACTTTGTAGGATGAATGTTGAGATTTATAAGGGCACGGGGTGACCAATAAGGTCTGAAGTGGTCTGTAACAATGTAGGCACTGATCCGGGGTTGACAGGTACGGAGTAAAGTCACCGGTAAGTCCAGAGTGGTGAGCCAAACGGCCCACTGACTTTATTTCGTACGAAACCGTGTCGAGCGAGCCACCTCGAAATGCCCCGCGAGCCATAATAATCCATCGCTTCAAGCGTAGTAGCCGCACTGATCGGATACTGGAGATGGATGGCACGATGCTGATACGATATCACGGACACTTCGTCGTCACCGGTTGTGTTCAAGTAGTGCACTGAGTACACGGTCAATGCAACTTAGCCACGGCCACATTTGTAGACCGCCTAAAAGTAATTTGAAAGTCATTTTCGGCACTCAGCTTATACGTAGCCGAGCGCCGTATATTAATAATCCCAAGTCACACGCTGTACCAGTATTCTCTCCATCCCATAGCCGGCACGCTCGGGTAATGGAAAAGATGATCCCATGCGCTCCAGGAGGGACACCCTCAACACAACAAAGCCTGCAAGGGGTCCCCTTACAGCCCGCGTGACCTCTTGGGACAGACACGGCGAGGTTAGCGAGCGGCTATTAAGGCTACACACGCGTGACAATAGTTCTAACGGGAGGCATAAGCAAATCCAATACAAAGCTTCGGCTCCAAAGTGACCCAAGAGAGACCCCCGGTTTCATGAACACAATCTATATGGGATGCATCATATATATGTCAACTCAAATTCAAATCCTAACCAGCAGACCGCGATAATTAACATCAAATTATACTCTCGCCTCTGCCTTGTCTGCAACTCTCTTCACGTCTTTCTCGACAGGACTATTAATCTGTATCACGTGTCAATGTCGCTTCTGTCGCCATCTGACGAGGGTGATATCAGCCGAAAGAGGGACACACACGAATATATAACGTCTGCTTCGGGCCCCCTAACGTGGCTTGTGACAGCTTTGATGGGGTCGAAGGGCTGAGCCCCCCCCACCCGACTCCACTAATGCATTCTCCCAATTGGGAGGCAGCTCAAGTTATCGAGGTCATCAGAGACAGCAGTGCTGCTGATGCCACCATCGCTTCCTTCCTCATGCGGCAGTTGAGGCACCGAACCTTCACGGTTCGCTATGCTCCTATACGGTGGCCCGGAGAAATCCCGAGCACACGCGGAGATAGTGGTCATATTTAGCAGGGCGGGGGGGGGGGGTCCTGGATTCCAGCCCTTGGCGACCAACCACGCTCCACCTTCCGTTGTTTACGAGTCTTCTCCGTTCAAACTGAAATTAAGTTGTGATGCGCTTGACTCGCCTGATGAATGGTGATCGTGTCGCACGTTGATGTTACGTAGCTCTGGTTCAAATAAAAATTGAGTACTAGTGTGTATGTACGTATATATGCGCGTGTGTGTCCTGCGTGATGTGGGGGAGCGGTAGTGTATCGGCTAGCGCGCTGCGCTAGGAACCTAGCCACCCAAGTTCGATTCCCGCTCACGGCCAACACCAGTACACGGTTATCTGAACTGGTCTTGGGCCTCCCCTCGGTCGACTCAGCCTCAATTGTGCACCTAGTGAGATGCGTGAAAACATTGCCACTAGGGAGAGAAAGGCGGCCGGGCGTGGTGCTGGCCACCGACCCTCACGTGTGCCGTTCCGGCCTTCATAGGTGCTCACTAACAGCACTTGCCCCAACAATCTGTTAAGGCTATACTGGGGGGGATGTTTGTCTTTGTCTGCGTGATGAAGAGAGAGCTCTTCATTTGACACACGCGCAGATGGCAACAGGCACATAACATAATAAACGACTGCCTGGTCACCTTTATATCCGCCGTGCTGTTATTTTACACACAATATCAGGTACTAATATAAGGCTGAGCCGGTTTCAGATATTCGCCACTGTTATTGGTCGTGAGCGGGAATCGAACTCTGGTCATCAACACATTGACACAGACAAAACCGCACATAAACACAGACAGACAAACTGAGACACACACATACACACACTGCATTCACAGACTCGACCCCCTCGCCTTCCCACTGGTTGAACTAATTATACTCTCCCGAGGCATACAAATACAAAAGTCCCCCGTATATCCATAGCAGACGTTTGGTGAAAGTGCTTTTAGCGAGCAGCTATAAAGGCCGGAACGGCACACGAAGGGGTGAGTACCCAGCACCACACACGGCCGCCTTTGTCTCCCTAGTGGCGATTTTTTTTTAATGCACGGCACCAGCTATTCATTCGAGACTATGTCGACCTTGGGGAGGCCCAGGACCGGTGCAGATATCTGTCACTGGTGTTGGCCGTGAGTGGGAATCGAACTCCGGTGGCCGGGTTCGTGGCGCAGTGCGCTGATCGCTGCACCACACACACAGTCAGTGCCGGATTAAGCTAGAGAGGGCCTGTAGCATATGTTATAAAGGGGCCCTAAATAAAAAAAAACACTTAAATATTAAAACACAAATGTTTAACTTGCATAGTAAAGTAATTGTATGTTTTCATTTGCTATGCAGCCAGATAATACGACAAATCGCTAACCGTAAACACCCAGTCGTTCATAAAAGTTGAAGGCGGTATAGTACTATAGTAATAGAGCAAGTGCAGAATCACTGAACCGCAATTGATAGCTTGAAAGCATTTAGGATAATCCGGCACTGCACACAGCACACACGCACGGTGAAGATCAGAGGCAAGACCCTATATCGCACCTCAGATTAGCACAGTTGGCCACGTGCGGTGCGAAAGAAGCTCAACGTGCCATACATACAAGGGGGGATTGCAAGGTACAGGCAGATACCCATCACCACCACCAATCGCTACAGCCATAACCATTACCCACGGGCACCACTACAACCTCAGCCACCCACTCCCACTACAACCACTACTTCCACGAACACCACTATAACCACCAGCAACCACCTCTACCACAACCACCACCACCACCGGCACTGCCAGTTCTTCCACCAAACACTACCAATCTCTCACCACCATCACCATCCACGATTACTACCAGGATCCACCACTGCCACCACCATCGCCACCACCACCCACCCCGCTACACCCCAAGCCGCAAATCCGCTTCTCCTCTCCCTTCTCCTCCTACTCCCCAGCGGCCTCCTGATCTTCCCCAATCTCTTCCTCCACTTCCCCCCCACTGCCCCTATTATTTTCCACCCCATTCTCCCCCTGCTCTTACTCCTCATCCCCCCCCCATCCTCCTCCTCCCCCAAACGGAGACACCCCTGACGTCAACGAGTGGGGTTGGTTTCCACGGTGTAGAATTTTATTCGCGCGGTCGTCGCGAGGACACTTCACTTCTCCTCGCGTGTGGAGGACGTGTCGCATCTCCGACTCGTGGTGAGGACCACCCACCCCCTCCACCCCATCCACCCTCATCTCCTCACCCCGGCACGTCTCCTCTCGCCAGAGAGCGGTGTGAGCGAGCAAGGCACGCGAGGTGTTGCCAGGAGTGCCTCTTCAGAAGCCGGCATCTTCACTCAGCCGCCTGCCACAGGTGCGTTAAGCACAGACCCGCCACGTTCACCGTGCACCCTGCATGCGCTCAATCAGTGTGGAAGCCCCTCGTACGTTGAGTACCCAAGGTGGTGGTGGTGGTCGTGGTAATGGTGACCGTGGTGATCGTGCTGGTGATGGTTCTGATTGATGGTGGTGATTGTGATGGTGGTGATGCTGGTGGTGGTGATGCTGGTGGTGGTGATGATGGGTTTTCGTCGTGATGGTTATTATGGCGCTCGTGGTGGCGATGGTGGTAGTTGCGTTGATGGTAATTTTGGTGAAAGATGGTGTTCGTGGTGATTAAGGCACTCGTGGTAATGAGGATGTTGGTGGTGATGGTGGTGGTTATGCCAATGGAGCGTTGCGATCAGAAAATGCATTCGACTTTTGTCTGTTTTTTCTTTCTAGAATGTCGCACGCTCACGTGTAATGTCTCGAGAGTATGGAATGATGTCAGCGATTAGTTCTGGATAAATGACCGTACTTGATTATATTTGTTTTGCCATTGCAGTGACTTAAGTCACTCGAGCAAATGAGACTCACCCTGTCCTCTTGAGATCTCACCTGGTTAACACCAAACAAATTTGAAACTGAAATCACTCTGAACGCGTCCGAACTTGTCAGATGTTGGAAGCCAATCGGAATTCAGCCTGGTTACCACTTGGTTGAGCGACAAGCTAGCAGATGGCAGTATAGCAAACGTATTATTTAACAGATACAAATTAAGTCGTCACGCGCTACACGCGTCTGACGATTCGAAGTAAAAGCGGTCACTACAAACGCCTGATTTAAATCAGAACAATTTGAATCGGCGCTCTCTACGCCACGTGGGACGTGTGTATCAATCATCAGACGCGTGCAGCGCGTAATGACGCTTGATTTGTTTTCGGAGAGACCTGGTAAGATTGTAAATGTCGTGGCTTGGCTCTCCAACACACCGGTGTGCTGTGCTAGTGACGAATTGGCACGTTCTGTTTACGTGACAACCCTTACTGGTTGGCTGTGTCGGGTGGTGGCGGGTTTTAACGGCACACGTATATATTTACGCGATCTCACCCCACAAAAAACCTTTATTATGACAGACCTGGTAAGCAGTGAAAGGTGGACCGTGTTCACGAGCACTGTTATTACACTGTTGGATAAGGCTCTCCCCCCGAGTCAAGACGGTCATGGGGGGGGGGGGTTGTTTGACTCGACTATACTTCACCACGCTGGTCAGTGAGGGTTGGACAAGCGGGAGGGCCAAGACCGGTTCACATATCACTTGCTACTGATGTTAGCCGTGGCCCGGAAGCGAACTCAGTAGTGCAGTGTCCTAACCACCCCGCCACTGCTGCCCTCTCACCACCACCGTGCTTCGAAGCCCCACGATGTGAATCCCGTTACGCAGACTGCCCAGCGGTAGGTTCTTGTGATGATGAAACTGTTTACGCCGTCGTTACCTTGCTTGCACGTATGCTACCCACTTTCTAATGGAAAAAAAAAACCCGCTGCAATCTTGAGCGAGTCACCATAACGTTCATCGACTCAGCAAGACATTCGTCAGTAATACTGCTCATCAACAAACAAAAAGCAAAACAATAGGCGGCATTACTGGTAATGGCCCTCCTTCACGGTGCATTAACCATTCGGTGTTTTTTTTTTCCCTTTCCCTTTCAGGGCAGTGTTATTGACACGAGCGTCGAGTTTGTATTTTGTTTCGCGCATCCCATGCACCGCCGCCAAGACGCGGAGTGGCCACTGCATCGCGAAACGTGCGCTCCCGCTCGATCGACGGGGGAGGGATTTAGAACTCGCGAGCGATCGCGCGCCCGTTAGATCATCGCAACGCTGCTGCTGCTGCTGCAGCAGGAGGGATGATTAGTGTTTTGGTGCCGCGTGTCAGGGCTGATCTCACCGCGCAGCAACGCGCTCGGGCCAGGAATAGCGCCACGATGTCGCACGCGCGGTGGCACGTGGAGAGATGGTGGTGGTTGGTGGGGGGGGGCTCCCTGCACTCCCTAGGGGGGGTGGGGTGGGGGGGCGCTCCCGGGGGGTCCCTCCCTCTCTTTCCATTGCGCACGACGAGCAGGGGCCTCCCCGCCAACACAGCGGCGCGTGCCTCTGCTGGGTCTTTCCGAACGCTCCACCACCACCACCCAGCACCACCCAGCACCACACACTCACACGAAAACAAACTTCTCCCGTCTTGCCTTAACAGACTGTTGGGGCAAGTACTGTTAGCGAGCACCTATGAAGGCCCGAACAGTACACGAGCGGATGGGTGTGGCGAGCACGACGCCCGGCCGCCTCCCGAGTGGCGATGTTTACACATCTCACCAGGTGCTCATTTGAGGCTGAGTCGACCTAGGGGAGGCCCAGGACCGGTTCACTGGTGTTGGCCTTGAGCGGGAGTCTAACTTGGGTCGCCGGGTTCGTAGTGCAGCGCGCTAACCGCTTCCCGCACACGCCTACCCCACACGCACACTCATCCCAAGCTGGCTTCCTCTCTCTTCCTCCCACTATGATCACCCTCTTTATCTCCATCTCCCCAGCCCCTCACCCTACCTACCGCTTCCTCCGTACAGCTCCGTTTCTCTCCCATCCATCTCTCGCCCACTCTCCCTCACTCCCTCGCTCCTGCGCGCTCTCTCTCTATATATATCTCTCTAATCGCGCTCCGCTATCTCCATTCCTTCCTCTCTTCCTAAGGGGCGCCACGGTCGTGAGATGTTAATAACCTCGCCTGGTATGCAGGAGGTCGTGGGTTCGATCCCGGCCGTGACGCCTGCTGTATATTTTGAGTTTGCGTGTTCTCCTCGTGGCCGCGTGGATTTTTTTGTCCGGGTGCTCCGGTTTTTCCCTCCACATTTAGAAACATGCGTTTGGAGTATTTGGCTGCTATACATTTCCACGTGATGATAAGGCACTTTGTTGAGCTTTCAATTGAGGCCAGGCTGCTTCTGAAAAATATCTGAATAGCTCAGTGGACCTTAACTGGTCAGTTTACTAAGTTTAGTTTAACGAATCTCCTTCTCTGCCTGCACCAACACTTCCACCACCATTACCACTCCCGCCACCACCCCTCCCACGATCACCACTTTCATCACGACCAACCACTCCCACCACCACACAACCACACCGCGCCCTCGTTCCAAAACAAACTCTTAGGGAGCAGTGTGTTTATATTTAAACACACACACGCTTATAGATATACTCGCGGGAAGTACCCGGCATTGCCCGGGCGAAAATATATTTCAAAACTTATCTTAAAAACCTTACATATACATACACAGATACTAAGGTATTGTGAAAGCCCGATGGGCCATTTGTCCATTTCTCCACCAACAAAATCATAAGAGGCTTGCATGAGTCCTAAAAGTTATAGAAAGTGGGGGCTAAATAGTTGATCTAAAAGGTTTCCGAAAATTGTCGACCTCCGCCCCTCAGAAAATACATTGACCCCCACGTAGGTATATATGCCTACACACCCTACATACAACAGAGTAAGTAGTATCTATTGATTCTGTAGTTGTATTTACTGACTGTACAGTAGTATCTACTGAGCCAGTAGTAGCTACTGACTGTTTAGTAGTATTTACTGACTAGTAACTACTGGGCCTACAGTAGTATCTACCGACTCTACAGTAGTAACGACTAACTGTATAGTAGCATCTGCTGACTCTATAGTAGTATCCACTGACTATAGTATTAACTACTAACTCTGTAACAGTATCTACTCACTCTATAGTAGTAACTACTAACTCTATAGCAGTATCTACTCACTCTGTAACAGTATCTACTGACTAGTAGCTACTGACCGTAGTAGTATCTACTGACAGTAGCAGTATTGACTGACTGTAGTGGTATATACTGACTGTTTAAGTATCTACTAACTCGATATAACAGTATCTACCAACATGATAGCAGTATCTACTATCACTACAGCTGTGCATACCGACTGTGGTGGTCCCTGCTTTCACTACAGCAGTGCATACTGACTGATGGTACCTGCTATGATAACAGCAGTGCATACTGACTGTGGTGGTACCTGCTATCACTACAGCGGTGTATACCGACTGTTGTGGAACCTACTTTCACTACAACAGTGCATACTGACTGTGGTGGTACCTGCTATCACTACAGCGGTGCATACCGACTGTGCTGGTACCTGCTATGATTACAGCAGTGCATACTGTGCTGGTACCTGCTATCACTACAGCAGTGCATACTGACTGTGGTGGTACCTGCTATGTTTACAGCAGTGCATACTGCTGTGGTGGTACCTGCTATCACTACAGCAGTGCATACTGACTGTGGTGGTGCCTGCTATGTTTACAGCAGTGCATACTGCTGTGGTGGTACCTACGATTACAGCAGTGCATACTGTGGTGGTACCTGCTTTCATTACAGCAGTGCATACTGTGGTGGTGCCTGCTATGATTACAGCAGTGTATACTGTAATGGTACCTGCTATGGCCACAGTAGTACGTACATGCTTACTCTATAGCAGTATATATAGTGACTCTATAGCACAAAGTACTCACATGACAGAGTTGCCGTGGTGAGGCCTAGTCCCGTGCAGAGCCCCCGGTTTCGCCTAGATTGCTCAGCCGGCTGAGGCTGTGGGCTGGGCCGCTACCCCCCCCCCCCCCACCATCGTAAACCCCACCGCTCGAGAGCCAAATCCCTCACAAGCGCGCGTACGCAGACAGACGGACAGACGGACAGAGAGACAGACAAAAAAATGGCTTTTCTAGGTTAGATACACACACACACACTTATATACACGCACACGTACGCAAAAAAACGCATCCACATGCATAAACATACCCGTAAACAAATACAAAGATCCCCCGCATAGCCTTGACAGATTTTTGGGGCAAGTGCTGTTAGCGAGCACCTATGAAGGCCACAAAGACCAAGATCCCCTGTATGGCCTTAACAGGCTGTTGGGGCAAGTGCTGTTAGCGAGCACCTATGAAGGCCACAAAGACCAAGATCCCCTGTATGGCCTTAGCAGGCTGTTGGGGCAAGTGCTGTTAGCGAGCACCTATGAAGATCACACACACACACACACGCACGACCGAAACTGAATTTCTGGTTTCGGCCGAAGCCGAAACTATGCCGAAAGTGGCCAATTTGCCAAACTTTCGGCGCCGAAACCGAAACCGAATTTCGGTCGGCCTCTAGCGCACATTTCAAACCGCACGGAGGCACGCACTCACAACCTCACGCGTCCGTGATGCGCGCACTCGAGTGCGGAGCGAGTTGACGCCGGCAATTGAGAGGTGCCCGCTCACAGCGCCTTGGCCCGAGCACGTTCATAGTTCATTTTCATAGTTCATTTATTTGGCTATAGCCCTGTGAGCCATTCGGCTCTTGAATCGGGTGCAACCGCAACAAACAAAAAACATGAACAAGAAAACATCTTAAAGTGATTATGTGACTGTGCAAACAGAAAATACAGGGAAAAAATATCAAAATATTCCTGAAATTGCACCGTACACCAACGCTGTGTGCGTGAATGAGGCCGCATGTAGGAGCGTCGTTGGTTACCCGGCGACCCGAGTTCGATTCCCGCTCACGGCCAACACCAGCGACGATTATCTGAACCGGTCCTGGGCCTCCCCTAGGTCGAGCCAGCCTCAAGTGGGCACCTGATGTGGTGTGTGTTAATACAACAGGGAGATCAAGTTGGCCGGGCGTGGTGCTGGCCACACACCCCTTCGTGTGCCGTGGCGGCCTGCACAGGTGGTGCTTGCCAAAAGCACTTGCCCCTACAGTCTGTAAAGGCTACACGGTGCATATTTGTCTTTGTGGTTATCAAGCTGCGCTACGAAACCGGCCATCCAAGTTCGATTCCCGTTCACGGCCGACACCAGCGATTATCTTAACCGGTCCTGGGCCTCCCCTAGGTCGACTCAGCCTTAAATTAGTACCTGTGTGTGGTGTGTCAAATATCAGCACTGGGGTTACAAAAAGTCGGTTGTGCGTGGTGCTGGCGATCCACCCCCTCGCGTGCCGTGCTAACAGCACTGACCCAACAGGGCTTCAAGTGGGATCTTTATCTTTTGTAAGTGTGCACGTGACGCATATCTACAGATGGCCGCGTGGTGCAATGCGTAAACATCAGTAATGGGGAAGACAAAAGCGGCCGGGCGTGGTGCTGCTGGCCACCCACCCCCTCGTGCGCCGTGGCGACCTTCGTGTGTGCTCGCGAACAAGCACTTGCCCCAACAGTCCGCCAAGGCTTCACGGGGGACCTTTGCCTTTGTGCGTGCCCAGCGCAGACGCAATGCTCGCGCTGCGCAGCCGCCCCGAGGGTCCCCGTGGCCTCGGGCCCCCCCCCAAGAAGGCGAGCCCGACGTGCGCGACGACCCCGCGAGGTGTCGCCGGTGGGGACGTGATCCTCACGCTCGACCAGCTGCTGAAACGCGACGGCGGCGGCGGCGACGGCGGCGTCGTCGGAGCGAGGGCTGCCCGCCCCAAGGAGACGGAGCCTCCGAACGGGAGACACAAGACGAAGAAGAAGGCTGCGTGTCTCAGCGGGGTGGGTGACAGCTTCTGCCACGGTTCCCCTCCACACCGCCCCCCCCCCCGCCACCCACCCAACCCAGGCCGGCCCGGGAACATCCCCGGGACAGACCCATAGGCCACGTGGGTCCGTGCGCACCCCGACGATCGTAAATGCCACAAGTACTGCATAGTGCTGATAATAACAATTATGATAAAAGGCAAAGCAACGTCCTATGATCGGGCGCTTTGGTGGAGAGGGTGGGTGGTGGAGCGCGCTGCGAGTCGGCTATGAGCGACCACACACTTAGCATTGGTTGACTGATTGGGGATTTCGACAGAACGCCTTGGATGCTGGAGTGGAGAGTGCGTGAAGGGGAGTGGAGTGAGATGAGAGGGAGAGGTAGGAGAGTGGGTTGAGGGGAGTAGAGTGAGATGAGAGGGAGATGTAGGGGAGTGCGTGGAGGAGAGGAGAGTGAGATGAGAGGGAGCGGTAGGAGAGTGGGTTGAGGAGAGTAGAGTGAGATGAGAGGGAGCGGTAGAAGAGTGGGTTGAGGGGAGTAGAGTGAGATGAGAGGGAGATGTAGGGGAGTGCGTGGAGGGGAGTAGAGTGAGATGAGAGGGAGATGTAGGGGAGTGCGTGGAGGAGAGTAGAGTGAGATTAGAGGTAGACGGAAAGGAGCCCACGGAGGACGTTGAAGCAGGTGACTGTGACACCGAATTCGATCCGGGGTTGGAACTGGAAGCCAGTAGACAGACTGGAGTCGTAGCTCGTGAGCTCGGTGTCACGACGCGCTGCGGTCTCCTTGCCAGGTGTTGGAGGAGATCGCCAAGCTGAGCCAGGACTTCTCCACGTACCAGGAAGAGCTGCGCAGGAAGTCCAACACGAGCAGGTAAACAAGCTCTCAGGATCTGCAGGTGACAGGTGAACGTCCCCGAATTGTGGATGCCCCTCTGATCAGGGTCTCACCTGCAAAATAAACGTCTGGCCTCAGTGGGGCCTTTCGAGCTATCCGCCCAAGGGCAGGTCCGTGGATCAAGTTCACGTCATGCTCAATGAGCTCACTTGCCCCATGCTCATCATACGATGTCACACTTAATTAGGAAATGCAGGACTCTCATCTGGTTTTAAATAGAAGATTTTATTGACCGATGATAATATTAATCAGCCATGATATATCCACTGCTGGATGAAGGCCTCCCCAAGTTGTCACCATCTCTCACAGGAATAAATGCACAAGGGTCCACGTCGCTCCTGCACCTAAATATAATCGCCCTCCAGATTTGTTTCCAGCAGCATTTGTTTCAGAAGCAAAACCCTGGACGGGTGTCAACTTCTGGGTTTAATCAGCAGAGTGTACCCTGAAGGACCGACTACGTACTCCTCGTTCACTTCGAATAATGGGTCGGAACAAAACGTACAAATCAGATGAGACACGCAGTACAAACGAGGTTGTGCAAAATAGACAGACAGTACAAGGTAGTACATACATGAAGTACAGCACAAAGGTGATAATATCTACGGGGCAGCCAGGACAAGGAGACAAACAGTACAATCAATACAGTACTGGCAGTGTTCATCAGTACAAACGAGACCGGCAGTACAGAGCATTCTTATCGAAGAGACAGTACAAGGGAAACAGTAGATACGATGCAGATAATCAGCTACAAGCGATACAGACCAAACAAGGCAGCACAAACACGACAATATCAATCTATGCGCATCATCGATTCGCTTCCCGTAATCGTGAACCATTCCGTTCGTAACCTTCCCACCGAGCGCCTCCACGCAACCTCCCCACCACGAGTGACCCGCACAGCTCTTGATATATTTTTCTCCCCCCGGTTGTGACTCCAGTCCCAGGTCCGCGTCGTCGTTGTCCTGCGCCTGCAACGGCCCCGAGACGACCCCCGTCGCGACCCCGTCCCCTCCTCCGACCTGCACGCCGACCCCGGAAGACCACGGCCCCACGGAGCAGATGATGAACGCGAGGAACACGTGGCTGAGCTTCCACCTCGGCGTGGAGGAGAGAGAGGAGGAGGAGGAAGGGGAGAGGGAGCACGAGTGCGCGGCCATCCCTCCCACGGTTCCTCCACGGAGCACCTCTATCGTGGGAGGGCACAGCTCCTCGCCGTGCGCTCCTCGAAGCAGCAGCAGCAACAGCAGCAGCAGACTGATGCAGCTGGTGATGCAGCAGCAGCAGAAGCCCTTGGACAGTCGCTCTAGTGTGGAGCAGCAGAAGCAACAGCAGCAGAAGCAACAGCAGCAGCAGCAACAAAAACAGCAGCAGCAGCACCTGGACAGCCGCTCTCATGCAGAGCCGGAGTCCCTCGGCCGCCCGGTCACTCTTAAGGCGTCTTCTCCACCGCGACAGGGAGCTGCGAAATCAGTGGGAACGGTGAGCCGCAGCAGTAGGAGCGGCAGGAACAGAGGCAGCAGCAGCAGCAACGGCAAAAGCAGCATCAGCGGCATCAGCAGCGGCAGCAGCAGCGGCAGCAGCAGCGGCATCAGCATGAAAGCGCCCACTACGCCCGAGCTTGGGAGTCGAATCCGGGTGGATGGCGTCTGCGGTCGGGTCGGGTCGGCGGACGCAGCGTGGCGGAGACACCCGGTGGATGTTGGCCGTGCGGACGCGATGCAGGTACGCGTGGTTTTGCCGATGTGTTCGCGAGCACCTTGTTTAAGGCCGACGCGGTGCACGAGAGGGGTTACTGCGGACACCACCACGCCCGGCCGCCTTTGTCTCTCCACCGATGTCGTTTACGCACACGATTGGTGGCACAGCAATGGGCCCGCTGCGCTACGAACCCGGCCACCCGAGTTCGATTCCCGCTCACGGCCAACACCAGTGACGAGTATCTGAACCGACCCTGGGCCTCCCTTAGGTCGACTCAGCCTCAAATGAGTGCATGGTGCGATGTGTAAAGACAAAGGCGGTCGGGCGTGGTGCTGGCCACCCACCCTCTCGTGTTTCATCCCAGGCTTCGTAGATGCTCACCGACAGGACTTGCCCAGACGGTCTGTTGAGGCTATGCAGGGGATCTTTGTCTTTGTATGGAGAGCGGTGGCGCAGTAGTTAGCACGCGTTGCTGCATAGCCTGGCCATCGCAGTTGGACTCCCGGCCATGGTTACCATCAGTGGCGAGTGATACTTCAACGAGTACTCTGCTTGTCCCAAGTCACCCAAGTATTGGGGAGACAAAGGCGGCCTAAATAGGTTATACGGGGAGGGTCTTTGTGTTCGTTTACGTGTGCGAGTGCGTGCGTGCGCTCGCTGACGGCACTTGCCTCAATAGCACCTTGAAGGCTATGCGGGAGATCTTTGTCTTTGCGTATAAGGGCGCGGTAGTGCTTAGCGCTACGCTGCGCTACGAAACCCAGCAACTCAAGTTCGATTCCCGTTCACGGCCAACACCAGTGACGATGATCTGAACCGGTGTTGGGCCTCCCCTAGGTCGACTCAGCCTCAAATGTGTACCTGGTGCGGTGTGTAAACATCGCCGCGAGAAAGACGAATACGGCGGGGCGTGGTGCTTGCCACCAACCCCATCGTGTGCCGTGCCGGCAGCACTTGCCCCAACATTACGTTAAAGGCTACAAGGGGAAATTTATCGTTGTGTGTCTTCTCTGTCTCTTTGTTAGCTCTGACTCCGCCGTGTAAGTCTGTCTGTCTGCAACACGTCAAATCTGTCTAACTGTGTCTGTCTCCGCGGCTCTGTGTGCTTGTCTCTGTTGTGCATGCGCGTATCATCGGCGTAACGCGGTGCACAGCTAAAACAAAACAAAAAATAGCCAACCAAACGAGCGAGCAAAGTCAATCCTGGCCTGAGTCTCCCTCCACCCTCGTATTCGTCAGGGGGGTGGAGGCGATGGGGGGGGAGGGGGGTCACGTACTTGCCATGCGTTCCTACGCACATCCCCCGGTGCCAGATGGAGACCTCACCGCGCCCGTGTTCGTGTGCTTTAACGCACATGAACACGGCATTGCTTTTCCTAGTTCACTTTAAATAACTCCTGCGTGCCATGCATTATTAACATGATTGACAACGCCACGAACACGCCTAGGGAATCTACCCCCCCCCCCGCCCGCCACTACTCTGCCCCCCCCACCCAGAGTTGCCAGATCAGAGGTTTTAAAAAATGATGTATATACCTCTGTATATGATGGGTATGATGAAGTATATTTGACCATACTTCACCACCCCGATCAATTCCAACTGTAGTTTGGTTTTATGTAAATGTGGGTTAAACTTAAAGGAGATCATTAATTGCATAAGCGTTATCTTTCATAAATTTACTTGGAAGTAAATGTTGATACAATGCCGTGTTTCCTGTGCTCACTGATTATATATTGTCGATGATGATATATATTTAAGTTCCAATCAAAGTTGTGGGTAGACTCGGCTCATCATCACTCAAGTTGCAATTAAAATAAGTACTACTTTGTCAAAAGTAAACAGCGGTGGTACAGCTTTCCCTTGGACATAAGAATTTCCACGAATTTCTTTAATCGAGAGAAGTTCATATTGTCACGTGCGGGAAAAAAAAAAACCCTCGGCCTAGAAAAGTGGAATTTCCACCACCTTCTTCGATCGAGGGAAGTTTAGATTGTTCCGTGGAGAGAGACTGGCCCCCACCACAGGAATGTGCACATTTCCACCTCTAACTCTGCGCCGCAAATAGAGGTGAGCACGGGCTTGACCACGCAGACAATGTGACTTGACCTTGTGAGCGGGCGGCCCAGCAGTGGGAACGTGCGCAAGTTGACACTCGGACACCGACGCTCAGGGCTTCATCCCAGTCCCCCCCCCCCCACCACCATCTACCATCCCCGCCAAATATTCTCCGGGTCACTGGTAGAACGGCGTTAGGTGACGCGTGACAAATCCGTAGCCGCAGCCAAAGGCGCCTGCCGGATGCGGTGTGCCAGGTGCGGCGATATCTTTTGGGTCGCCCGGCTGAAAGTGAAGTAAGCCATCAGCGCGTCTCACACGGACTCCCTAGGGTCACCGACCAGCGCCTGTTCCGTGCCCTTCCCTCGTTAGAGGCAGAGGTGTGAATGGTTCTCATGCTCATTCCCTCGTTAGAGGCAGAGGTGTGAATGGTTCTCATGCTCAAGCTACACAGATGAAAGCGCGCGTTCGAGGACGGATCGATAACGTCCTACACACATACTGCGCACGTCAATGTTGGCCGTGTCACCCCTGTCCGCGCGCGTGGCGACCCGCAGGGCGACGAATCGACGGGCACCCTGCCGCCCCTACAAACGCGCTTCTCTCTGCCCGCCCGTCCCTCCAAGCGCCGTCTACCCTCCCGCTGGGCCGGCCGCGCCCCTCCGGAGAGCCCCGACTCCGGCCGGCAGGAACCACCGAGCCGGCAGGAGCCCACCGCTCGGCCGGCTCCTAAAGGCGCGCGCGTGCCCACCGCGTGCCCGCCGGCGCCCGGAGTCGCCAGGCCCCCCGCTGACTCGTACAACATTCACGACATCATGGACATTCTCTCGTGGGGGGACCTGCGGTCATCCGCCGTGTGAAGTGAAAAAATAAAAGAGCACCCAGCGCTCGCTCCCCGCCCCTCCCCCCGCCGCGCGCGCCACACGTGGAGGGGCACGCACGAGCATGCACGCGACGTATGTCAGCACACAAAGACAAAGATCCCCCGTATAGACCTTAACATAATGCTGGGGCAAGTGCCGTTAGCGAACACCTATGAAGCCCGACACGGCACACGAGAGGGGATGGGTGGCCAGCGCCACGCACGGCCGCCTTTGTCTCCCCCGTGCTGTTGTATTCACACACACACCACATCAGGTGCCCATTCGAGGCTGAGTCGACATAGGGGAGGCCCAGGACTGGCTGGTTGTAAGCGAGAATCGAACTCGTGTCGCTGGGTTTCGTAGCGTGGCGCACTGCCCGCTATACACAACCGCTACCCCCCCATCCCACACACAAAGGGTTGGTGTTCTATGCATGTCAGCAAAAAACTCTGCCGAGGCCATCAGTACCTGCGTGCGAATGCGACACGCAGAGAGCGGGACTGTAAATATTCACCCGTTATCGCTCCAACGCGTAAGATGAATGTTGCAAAAGACTCGCTGGGGCTTCCCCCCCCCCCAGAATGATTCTGGAATACACTGCAGGAGGATTGTGCTCAGCTGGGATCTTCATCTTCTCTATTTGATCGCTAAATTCTAATTTGCTGTCCCAGCTGTGTTCCAAACGTGCGGCGTAATGCTCTGTACCAATACTGTAAGAATAGTTCAACGCTTAGGCTTTCGCGACCAATATTATTCATAATAAAGGTGTTTGGGTTATATCGCGTAAGTATAAATGCGTCGTAACCCTCCACCACCCGACACGGCCAGTGAGGTTAGTTTACTACTTCAACCCACCGGTGTGTTGGAGAGTGAATCCACAACATTTACAAATTGAATTAAACGTTTCGCTGGTAATTAAATCAAGCATCATCGGGGGATATGCCAGAATAATTATCAGGACTCAGCAACCCGAGTTCGATTCCTGGCCACGGATAACATCAGTGGTGAGTGACATCTGAAACCGGCCATTGGCACTTCACTCCCCTTCAACAAACCGCATGGTGAAATATGGTCAGCACCCCCCCCCCTCCCTATCGCGCCCACCCCCATCACCTCCCACCCATGGCCAACCACCAACAGCGTGAGCAGGTCGTCATCCAGCAGCGGATTGACAGAGGGCTGTACATATATTTGTTTTCATTGTAATTGTAACACGATGCCTTGCAATGTGATGTTGTAACGTTTCGTGAATAGAATGTGATGCAACCAATGCCCTATTACGAACAGAATGTGCATGGCATGCCGGCCGCGTCCAGACGGATGCGTTGTTAAACTTGTGACATGCCGTGATCATGAGGTGCGCTGTAAATTATTAGCATTATTTATAAGTGATAAGAATATGGGGCCGTCTGTAAATGACGTCACGCACCTGGGGGGGGGGGGGGTGTCAGACATTTGTGATGATGTGTGATGAGGGGGGGGGGGGAGATTTGAGAAATGTGACGTCACATCAAAATGCGCAACTCTAAATAAATATAGAATTGTTATAACAACACTAATTCAGATTAATTTTCATTATTAACTATTTGATTATTTAAATTTACTAAGGTCACCTTTTATTTATTCCATGAAGGAGCATTTTGCTTCTCCATGGGAGAATGGAGAAGCATACATTTTGAAAAATGTTTTAATGATTGTTATTAAACATTTTTATTTTAGTGATTCTACCTGGGCTTTTCATTCTGTGGAATGAATATATGATTGTTATAATTGTACTCTCCATTTTGCTTCGTTCTACTACAAAGTTTCAAGTATTTTTTATAGTTATAATTACTTTTAATATATGATAATTATAAGATAATTTCAATATAATATTCTGAACATCTGCAGTTTTAGTTAGACGTTGAATATTTTCAAGTGAATTTTATGCAAAATTTAAGCTTTCCAACGCTTCCTTTTTAATACATGTTTTCTCCTACAACATCAGAGTGCAGCGCCACATTAAATACGCACTACAATGACAATAGTTTAAAGTAATTTGAAGCATGTTTTATTTTCAAAATGGAAATATGTTTTGGGGGGGGGGGGGGCAGAGCTTTGTGACGTCATATTTGAGGGGGGTCTGACTTTTTGTGACGTCGTGTGACGCGGGGGGGGGGGGGTCAAAAATCGTCCAAAATCGCGTGACGTCATTTATGGACGTCCCCTATGAACACCGGAATACTGCACACGGATACGAACACATAGGCAAAGGTCCTCCATATAGCCTTTAACAAACTGTTGGGGCAAGTGATGTTAGCGAGTAGCACCCTATGAAGGCCGGCACGGCACACGAGGGGGTGGGTGGCCAACACCACGCCCGGCCGCCTTTGTCTCCTAAGTGGCGATGTTTATACACAGCACCAGGTACTCGTTTGAGGTTTGAGTCGACCTAGGGGACGCCCAGGACCGATTCAGATAATCGTTACTGATGTTGGCCGTTAGCGGGAATCGAACCTGGGTCGCCGGGTTCGTAGCGCAGCGCGCTAAACGCTGCACTACCACTCCTCACATAGACAACAACAACCGCCATTCGCCACTATCACCACGGCGCTTGTGCCAGGCCATGTGCACGTTGAGGTCACGTGAAGTATCGAATGCCGGCTGGCAGGAGGTCACGGGACAGACCCAGCAGGTGCCATGGGTCGACCTGATTGAGATGACTGGCCGATGCACCACCTGTAGATACACACACATCCTGAATATGATCACGTGGGTATGCAATTTACATAGGATATGAACACACAGATCCATTGAAATCACGTGAGTATGCAATGTACATTCTGTATTAACACACGAACACACAGATACACTGAATATGAACGCATGGACATGCAGTGTACATTGTATATATTCACAAACCGAGTTGAACGTTGGCTTAAATATTTATATTGAAGTGTTCTTGCCATCGCTGTTTTAGATGTTTTCATTTTTTTTTAAGATGACTGATGTGCAAAAGCAATGTGCCGTGGTTTTGTGTACGTTGTACAAATGACATCGTTATGAATAGTATTTCATCATTTGTAGATAACGCTTGAGTATTTAATGTTATATGAGGCATGCAGCAACTTGTATATTCGTACAGATCTTACCAGTGTCTGTACGCTCACTTGTACGCGTACCAGTACACGTACCTGTAAATAGTGGAAATACGTACATGTGACAAAACCGTCCCATCCAATAGCCAGAGGTATAATTGGGAGATGCCCAAAGAAAACGCGTCCACATATTTCTAGATACACCGCAGATATCACATTTACGGCAAATACCCATGCCATCAACGGTACCTGCGGTGCTTCTTGATCTTACAATCATAATGACAGACAACGGTCAGTAGATAACAAGTAACATGATGAAGATGATAACGATTACAAAACTAACATCTTTGAAAAAATACCAATAATCCCGTGATTTGAAAAGAACGGTATTGCGGCCGCTCGTCAATAGCCAGAACAAAAAAATACATGGAAAACAAGAACACGTGGTCAACGTTGCGCCAACGTTCGTCTAACGTTGTCGTGACGCTTCCAACCACGTGCCAACGTTGACCTACGTTGACCTAACGTTGGCACGTTTGCCGGGTTGGTGTCTCTAGTAGAGCAATCGCAATCGGCCGAATACCTTCACTCAAAGATTGTTTGTTTTTTATCGCTCTCCGGCTCGCGGCTTCATCAACAACACAACAACCTCGTACGCTAGTTTGATGAGTTCGAATTCGCTGTCTATGCTGAGTGAATGGCCCATTCTGTGCAAGGGCCTTATCGGATCTCTCGCGGATCTGTCGCGTGATGGGCTGGAACGGCGGCACATCTGAGTTTAGTTGTTCGTCTGTCAGTGACGGGCGAGTGAAGTTCACCTGTCGATCTGCCGCGCGGGAAGTGCCCGTCGCCATCCACGCATGCTGTATATTGTCCATCGCTGTGAACACGTGCTGTAAGTATGCCTGTAAACATATTTAAAGAATAAAGGAATACAATTCAAATATATATACGCGTGTGTGTGTGTGCGTGCGTGTGCACCTGTCAACGGTTTGTGCAGACGGTGTAAACAACTTCGCACTGCCGACTGAGACAAACGCAGACACGTGCACAGAAACAACAACAACAACCGCCATTCGCCAATAAGTGGCGATGCACTTTGAGGTCACGCGAAGTGTCGAAGGCTCCCTGTCAGGTAACGGGACAGACCCCAGGTGTTCAAGGGTTAACTGACCGTGGATGACAGTCAAAATGCACAACCTTTGCAAGCCACTGTGCCACCCTGGTGTGCTTTACCCGTCCGACACGTTGGCCATTGTTGTGAGCTTCGCTCCTTCTTCACCCTCCGTCGTTGTTGGAGGGCGACCGACTCCGAGTGCCCGGTAGGACACAGAGGTTGGCCGATTAAGCAGTCGCAGAGCTGCGCCTTTGCCACGGACTCGGGGTGCAAGATGTACAAAGCAGACTTTCGAGGCAGGCAGATGCGACGATGCCATCGGACAAGAGCTAAATATATACATCCTCTAAATCTTGGCGAGGCCGAGTAATATGGTCGAATTTTTGCTAAACTGAGTGGGCATGCGGTGGGGGGGGGCTGTTATTTTAAAGTGACATTTGCTTACGAAAAGTCTAGACCGACAGAATGTGAACCTCATTGCTGTCAGCAAAGCAGATCCGAGACTGATTGGTGGTGGCTGGCACTCGGCTTTTTTTTTGAAAAAAAAAATATGGACAGTGTCACTGAAGGTGGAAGGAAAGAGAAGGGTAATTAAGTGAGAAGGAGGAGGGTGATGAGTTCCAGAGTTTAGTAGCACGAGGGTCAGGAGGAGGGTGATGATGGTGATGAGTTACAGAGTTGAGCAGCACGGGGGTCAGCAGGAGGAGGATGATGGTGATGAGTTACAGAGTTTAGCAGCACGGGGTCAGGAGGAGGGTGGTGATGGTGATGAGTTCTAGAGTTTAGCAGCACGGGGGTCAGCAGGAGGATGATGATGGTGATGAGTTCCAGAGTTTAGCAGCACGGGGGTCAAGAGGAGGATGATGATGGTGATGAGTTCCAGAGATTAACAGCACGGGGGTCAGCAGGATGAAGATGGTGATGAGTTACAGAGTTTAGCAGCACGGCGGTTAGCAGGAGGATGATGATGGTGATGAGTTACAGAGTTTAGCAGCACGGGCGTCAGCAGGATGATGATGGTGATG